AGAGCCCTCTTGTCTTCCTAGGTCTACCAGGAGATGGAAATGGTCCTCCCTGTCTCCAAATCTCAACTCATTGCTCTTACAGACCTACTTCGCTGGTCTTCTTTCATGCTACATTCTCCCTATGCAACCCAAGCCACCACTGTTTTTCTCAGGACGACTGCAATAGCTTCCTATTTATTTCCTCAATTTCAGTTTTGCCTGGCAGCACCTGAACCTGCATACACAAGACAAAAATTTTAAGAACAGTTACCAGGGCAAATATTTCTACTGCTTAAAACTACCCAATGGCAATCTATGTCGCTCAGAATAAAAGCTGTGCTCCTAACTGGATTAGACAGTCGTGACCAGGTAACAGCCACCTACCCAAGCCCTTCTCTTGCCCTGGCTTTCTTCAGCAAGTCAAGCTCATCTCCACAGTGGTGTCTCTGCACTACTCCCTGACTGGAATTGTGGCTCCTTTCCAACACACACATGATCTGAGATGTCACCTTCGTAAGTGTCTTCACCCTGATCATGACAGTGACTTCAGTCACTTTATCAGCCTGTCATTGAGACAAAACACCTGACACCCACCCCTTCTTCCAGGGAGGAGGGCTCATTCTGACTCAGTTTCAGTGGATTCAGTCTATGGTCTACGGGTTCCAAGGCAGACGGAGGGATGGGGAAAGGCTGTAGGGAGGAAAACTCCTGCATAACAAATCTAATCAGGAGAAGAAGAGAAGACTCGAGGGCAAGAGTGCACAAACATTCCAGGTCATACCTTAGTGCCCTGCCTCCTAGCAGCACTTGCAACTACTAAGCTCATCACTAAATCTACTGAGTAAGCACCCTAGTGATCCAACCACCATTCAAAGCTGCAACTGTAGGGGCGCTAGAGGTCTCCACCACAACAATATCTAGCATACTTGCAGTGTATCAGTCTACCTGAATGTCTTATGCCTTTGTGGAGGCTGTTACTGCCTCTTCTTCCCACCAAAATATAAAGTCCTTAATAACATGGTTCTTACTGAATTTATCAAATTCATTTATTCATTTAATAAGCACAAAAGTAGATTAAAAGTAGTTGTTGAGGGCCGGGGAGATGGCTCAACAGAATAAGCACTTGCCTGGCAAGCGCAAGGGCCTGAGTTCAATCCCCAGTTCCTCAAAAAAAAAAAAAAAAAGTATTTGTTGAATCAATCAATCACTACTTCCCTTAAAGATATCTAATTTGGAAGCCTCTAATAATACTTTACATTTTGTAAGAAATTTTTTATTAGGAATATGGGGTATGTGGTAGGGAATTTTAATACATGCCTATAATGGAATATATAACAACTAGCTATGGCTACACATAGATAATTTGCAGATACTATATCATATAGCTGTATCAATACACACACACACACACACACGCAGAAACAGGGACAGAGACAGAGAGAGGTGTTAAATAGTTATGCAACTACTTATCAACATTAAAACTAATAAACAAGAATCTCCTGTGGCTAATATACTACAAAGTTAATCATTAATATGCAGTGGCTGAATCTGAATTCTTCATGTTGTTCCTTTAGCAAACAACAAAAAACAAGCTAACCATTGTGATGCACGCCTGTAATCCCAGCACTGAGGAGGCGAGGGCAAGAGGGCTGCTGTGAGTTTGAGGCAAGCCTGATCTACACAAGATCCTGTCTCAAAATAGATGAAGAAATATAGCTCAAAAAGGGCTGCTAAGCTTAAAAACATACTCAAGTTAGGAATTTCATGCTGCTACTCTTTAATCTGAGGGAAGGATGATGGGAAGCATGTATTACTCAGGTCTGTCACAGCACTCCAAGTGGAATCTTTGTTCAATAACTCGGCTATTCCTGAAAGTACAAGTAATGACAGAATGCCTTTCACGAGATGGCTACTTCCCTTTTTAAAAAATTAAGCAAGACCACATCACCAGGTAATATGTTAACAGTCTACATTTTAAATTCAGGACTTAAAATATACTCTTTCAATCCTGTCATGCTAAAACAAAGAAAATACAGTTCCAACTTCTTTATTTGTCTAGCCTGTTGTTTCTCAATTCAAAGCGCCAATCAGCAGTGTCAGTTCCTGAGCATTTGTTAGAAATACCTTCTCAGAGGAGCACGGTGGTGCACACCTGCATCCCACCACGGCGGTGCACACCTGCATCCCACCACGGCGGTGCACACCTGCATCCCACCACTTGAGAGCCTGCCTCAGTGAAAAGGTAGAGTCTTAGGCCCCGCCTTAAACCTACTGCATCAAAAACATCTGAGAACCTGATGAATACACAACGTGAGAACCACTCAATCAGGGTTTCTTTCCTAAACGCTAATCCAATAGTAAAGAGAAGAAAGCTGGCTACTATAAGGAAAGGAATTTGCCTAAGTTTTGGTATGATGCAGTAAATCCACAGATTTATTTTCAAATTTTTTAAAAAATCATTTATTTATTTCGCACAGGGTCTCACTATGCAGCTTGGACTCCTAGTGATCCTTCTGTCTCAGCCTCCCCACCGCTGGGATTACACGTGTGTACCACAATGCCTGGTTTCTGTAGCTGGCACAGTACACCCAGGGTTCTGGAGTTCCGGGGCTAGCACAGCACATGGTACCGGGGATCGAACCCGGGTCCTTGCACTGGGCGCTTAAACCGTCGAGCCATGTCCCCAGCCCCTACAGATCTATTTTAAAATGTGCCATGCAAATACCGCTGACCTCTGTATCCAGGATTCCAATTTCACACATTTAACTGACTACAGGCCAAAAATATTTAGGGAGAAAAAACACCAATCAATGCTATTTTTTTTCATGTCACAGTCCCCTTGCAATAGAATATAACAATTATTTACATAGTATTTACAGTTACATTATTATAAGTAAACTAGAAGTGAATCAAAGTATGTAAGAGGATGTGTGTAGGATATATGCAAATACTACACCATGTTACCATGGGATTTGAGCAACTACAGATTTTAGTATCAACATGGGGCTTGGAAGCAAGCCATATAGCTATTCAGGGACAACTGTAATTATTTTTAATATCTTTTATATTAGAAAACTATACTAAAAGAATCAATAATTCCCTCTTTCTTGGGATATGAATAATTTGATTAGTAAGAAATGTAAGTTTATAAACATTTCATTAGTATTAAAAAACCTCAAAAAAGTCACTTCCTGTTTTTCACACAAGTAGTAAATCATTTCACATCTAGATTAGATAATAAAACCAAGGTGAGAGGAAAATGGTTTGTGGCTGCATAGAGAACTTCCATGTACAACTGTGAGAAAACATACAAATGTTAAACATGGATACGATCATAGGGGCTGATAAGGAAACTGCCAATTCTTGTAATAAATTCCTTCTCAAACATCGTCCATTTTAAACATTAGGACACCAACTTCTCTACCAGTACAGAAGACCAGAAATAGGAGGCAGTCTATGGCCACACCACCCTGAACATGCCCGTTCTCAGCTGATCTCGGAAGCCAAGCAGGGTCGGCCTGGTTAGTACTTGGAAGGGACAAACAGGAAAGGGACAAAGGGGTTTAGTTCTAGCTACTCTAGACAATAGATTTACATGGGATGTCGTTTATCTGCTTATTTGTTTAGAAAAACAAAAACAATTTTAAATGAAAATATTTATGGTAACCTAAAGCAAAATATGATAGAGAAGAGGCTAGATTGCCTACAAGATACAACCTTAAAACCAACATTATAAAAATGTTTTATTACCTTAAACTGCATATGATATGTATCATGTAACTTATTCTTTTTTTTAAATTTAGCAATCATCAATCCTTAAAAAGTAGCATCATATAAAGGGAACAGTATTGGATGGGGAATTGAGAGTTTTAGCACTATTTATGCACTACCTACTGAATGGCCTTGGGAACATTTTGTCTGTCCCTAGCACTCTTCATAGACTAACATTTTAGGGTCCTGAAGCAACATTCACCTGCTCCAACACAGAAGTTCTTAAAAGTGTTAAACCATTAAAAAATTATTACACTGGCAGTATTGTTTAAGCATACATTTTAAACAAAAGAGCAAGATTCCATAGACTTTTCTACATAGCATTGGTGTATGAGGCAAACATGTTTGTGTGTATACACACACAAATACACACACACACACACGTTGTGTGTGTGCGCATCTGTGTTTTGAGACAGATCTTTCTGAGCAGTTTCTATGTAGCTCAGACTGGCCGTGACCACCTGAGATCCTCATACTCAGGCTTGAGTGCTGCATTACTATGTGTACCACTATGCTTGGTCACAGTGGCAGGAAGTGTGGCTCAGTGGCAGAGTGCTTGCCTCACACACTCAAGACCATGAGTTCAATCTCCTGCATCACAACACACCTGGCCACAAAGATTAAGCTTTAAATTACTCATTTTGGGAAGAAACACTGAGGAATACCTTGTTTCCCAGACTCTAATATATACATTACTTTTCTATCACAACTATTATAATACATCTGAAACAGGAATATGTCTTAACAATTGGTGAAGCCTTGTAAATCACCGTTGGTCATGGAGTAGTAGTAACTGCTATTGATTATGCAAGTGTAAACATTAGAATATAAACATCAAATTTGAAAAATGAACATTAGCGGTTTTATATAAAATCTCGGTAAGGTGTGGCGCAATCTAACCTCCACAACCGAGATTACTGGAGGTAAGAATAACTTTACAACATCAACAACTGAAAAGCTGGTTTAAAAACCTCCATCACTGGCTTTTCATTCTTTCATTGATTCTTTTAAGAAATGTAGCATCATAATTCTGTGCTACAGAAAAGTACTGTTTGGAAAGTAATGGGTCTCAAGAATACATTTGAAAATTTTGATATAAAAGTTCAGTATATATTAAATAACATGCTATCAAATAACAATATGTTTTATAATTTATGAAATGCAATTAAAATCTACTAGCAATTTGTAGAAAAATAAAAGTTTTGCTTTATTCCATTAAAAAAAAAAAAAAACTCCCTTTGTAGCATTACCTGCAAACCACAGCAGCCTACAGCATTCATTATGGAGGCGTTGTGAATAACTCGGTAGGGAATTCCCAGCTTTGCCGCTCTCAAAATAAGATCACTGTGTGTTGTTGCCCTGCAATGAGAAAGCAAGTTGGATTTAAGAGTGGCCTCAACAGTGAAGTAACCCTATTTTATGAGCCAAGTCAACTGCTTTTTTTAAAATTATGCCAGGAGTCTCCATAAGGCTTCTAACTCAGCTTGCATGCTTATTTATTTATTCCTGCAGTGCTAGGGATCAAGCCCAGGGCCTTGTCTACCCGGGACAAGCGTCTACCCCTGAACCATGGCCCCAGCCCTTTGCTGGAGTTGTTAGCAACCAGAAATCAACCTACAAATGTCCTTCACAAAGCTGCACTGCAAGGACAACACAAGCAGCTACACGTTGAAAAGGGGAAGTTTACTTGTTTGTCATTCTGTTAATATCTGCAAAACACATCTGTCGAATATCAGTGCTCAGCAATTTAACACTTCATTCCTAAGCTCTTTGTCTCAGGGCCCTCTGAAGATCATCTACATAACTTTTAACTGTATGTACTTATATTATAGTATGTGGTATTTCAATATGGGTGTGCAGTGTGTCATGATCAAAGAAAATGGCACATCTCTTACCTGTGAAATGTATCATTTACGTTGGAAACATTTAAAATTTCCTTTAGTAGGTATTTTAAAACATTCAATTTTGTCAACCATATTTATCCTGCTGTGCTGTGTACATTACAAGCAATTCCTTCTGCCAACTGCACCCCTTACCCTCAGCCTACCCCCACGGTAACCACTACTCTATCCTACACTTACTCTGAGATCAACTTTCAGTTTCCAGCTAAGTGTCACCCTTTAAATTACTGCTTTAGAGTTTTGTATATGACACAGGACCAATTTTTTTTTAATCTCAGCCCTACTTTGAAGGCTTTTTTGCATTTTGAAATATAAGGAAAAATACACAGAACATTTTCACAGCCTCACAGTCTTTCAGTCTTTATATTAGAATTCTACCCCGAGTTTACCTCTATCTAGCAGTCATTTTATTTATAACCTTCAGCCTGGTTACTGTATATAATTAGTAAGTGTATATGTATATAAATATTTGGAGTATTCTTTCCTTTTAAAAATTTTTGAATAAATTCATTTATTTATTTGGTACAGGGTCTTGCTATGCATCTCAGACTCAGTGATCCTTCTATCTCAGCACCCCAACACTGGGATTACAGGCATGTGCCACCACGCCTGGTTTCAGTGGCCGGCACAGCGTGGCACCTGGGGTTCCAGGCATGCAGTACTGCGGATCGAACTCAGGTCCTTGAGCTTCCCAGGCTGGCACTTAGAACACTGAGCTATCTCCCCAGTCCTATCTTTCCTTTCTTGAGATCAATTTCACAACTATAATTAGGAAGGCTGGAGAGAACATATGTTAATATGAATACAGTGAGAGAATTAAAATGTCACGAAAAGCTTTTTCTCACTTGGTAAAATGTCTACATTTAAACACTAATGCTGATATCACACATACCTGAGCTTATGGGATGCAGTGAAAACAGTCCTACGAGGGAAATTTACAGAAGTGAATGCCCACATAAGAAGACAGCAGGAGACTCAAATAAATAACCTAATGCTGAACCTCAAAGTTCTAGAAAAAGAGCCCCTTAAACCCAAAACTCACACAAGGAAGGAACTTACGAAAATCAAGAAATTAATTAATTGAGACTAAGTAAACAATACAAAGAATCAATGAATCAGAGTTGGGTTGTTTTGAAAGATTCAATAAGACAGGCAGATTCTTAGCTAACCTTATCAAAAAAAGCAAAGAAAATCCAAAGCCTTTCTATCAGAAATGAAAAGGGCGCAATCCACAGATCCTATAGGAATCCAGAAGCTCATTAGTACTTACTTTGAGAGCCTGTATTCCAATAAGATAAAACATTCTAATTCAGAAGAAATAAATTCTTACACATACACGAACTGTAAAAAGTGAATCAAGATGTAAAGTCTAAATAAACCAATATCAGTTAATGACTGAAGTACTGTAATTAAAAAAAAAAAAAAAAGGAAAAACAACTAACAATAAAGAAAAGCCCAGGTCCAGATAGATTCACTGATGAATTCTCCAAAAACTTTAGGGAACAGCTAATGGCACTGCTCCTTACACTCTTTAATGAAACTGAAGAGGAAGCAATGCTCCTAAATTTCTTCCTGGAAGCAAGCATTACCTTGATACCAAAATCCAAGAAAGAAGCAACCCCAAAAAGGAAACACAGCCCAAGATCCTTACTAAACATATATTAAAAAATCCTCAATAAGATACTGATAAGCAGAATACAGTAAATCACTAAATAGACCAAGATAAGATTCGTCCCAAAGGTGCAGGGCTGATTCAACATACGTACATCAATAAATATAATGCACCACATTAAAAGAATGGAGGACAAAAACCACATGATCATCTCAAAAGATGCAGGAAAAGCACTTGACAAAATCCAACATCCGTTCATGATAAAAACACTACAGAAAACTGAAATAAAAGGTCTTTATCTCAAACTGATAAAGACCATCTATGACAAAACAACAGCCAGCATCATATTAAATCATCAAAAACTGAAAGTTTTCACTCTAAAATCACCATTCCTGTTCAATATAATTCTAGAAATACTAACCAGAACAATTAGAGGAGAAAAATAGAAGGAATAAAGATAAGAAAGGAAGAAGTTAAATCATCATTGTTTGCAGATGATAGGATTACATAGAAGACCCCAAATATTCTAGCAAGGGACTCCTAGAATTAGCAAATTCAGTAGTACAGCTGGATGCAAAGTCAAACATTCAAAAATCAATAGCATTCTGTACAGGAAAAAAAATTTTACTGATACAAAAATTAGGCAGATAATACTTTTACAATAGCATCAACAAAAGTAAAATACTGGGCCAGTGAGATAGCTCAGCAGACTAAAGCATCTGCTCAGACAAGCTTTAGTTAAGTGTAGGGACCACAGCTCAATCCTGGGCACCACATGCTGCACCAGCCCCGCCCCCAGGGTGGGCTGAGAGGCCACAGAGTCCAGTGTGGTGGTGTACGCCTATAATCCCAGTGCTGGAGAGGCTGAAAACAGGAGGATCACTATGAGTCTGAGCTGTGTAGTAAGACCCTGTAACAACCTAATACATTACAAAATAAATCAATAAAGGGTAAAATACTTAAGAATCAAACTAATGAAGAAAGTAAAAGACCTTTACAGTACTCTGAAAAGGAAGACACCAGAAAATGTAAAGATAGCCCGTTCTTGGATATGCAGAATATAGTGAAAATGGCCATATTTCTAAAATTGCTAAACCAATTTAATAAATCCCAGTTAAAATACCGTCAACACACCTCCTACAAGCAGAGAAAACAATCCTAAAACGCACTTGCAACCAAAAGAGGCAAGGCAGGGAACACCACGGATTTGAATCCCGGATTTGAAGTTGTATCAAAGGTTCCGTGATAAAAATAGCAGGTCCTGGGAAAAGAACAGACCTGCTGATCAACAGAATAGATTAGAAGAAGCAGAAACAACTCCAAGCCACTCGATTTTCTTATCTTTGCCAAAGGGGCCAAACACCTTCACTGGAAGAAAGATGTCTCTTTAATAAACGGTGCTAGGGAAATTGGCTGTCCATATGCCAAAGACTGAACCTGAATCCGTATTCTCACCATGCACTACACTAAAATTGAAATGGATCAAAGATCTAAATATAAGCACAGAAATAGTCTGCTGGCAGACAGAAGAGGTAGAGCTCCTGTAGACACTGTTGTAGGTGAAGACTCTGAACAAAATCCTGATCCCATAGGAAATATCAAAGAATAATAATAAAAAAAAAAAAAACCTGGGATCTCATCTTATTAAAAAGCTTTTGCACAGCACAAGAAACCACCAAGAATGAAGAGACAATCCAGTGTGGAGAAAATAAAATTGCCAACTGTTCCTCAAAGGACTAATATCTACAATATATAAAAAACTCAAAAACAACAGTCCCCAAAATTTAATGACTTGACCCAAAAATGGACATGTGAAATGAACAGACACTTCTCAGATCAAGTAGGAATGGCAAATACATGGAAAAATGTTTAACATCACTTAGCATTCGAGAGATGCAAATCAAAATAACACTGAGATTAAATTTCTCCAGAAAGAACAGCTATTATCAAGAAACTAACCAACAACAAACTCTGGTAAGGCTGTGGGTTTTCCCACAGAAAAAGGAGCTCTTCTCCACTGTTGGTAAGCGTGTAGAGGGCTACAACAACTGTAGACATCACTGTGGAGATTCCTTAGAAATGAGAACTAGAAGAGGGCCAGTGAGATAGCTCAGCAGACTAAAGTGCCTGCTTAGGCAGGCACAGGGACCGGGGCTGGATCCTAGGCAGGCACAGCGACCAGGGTTTGATTGTGCCCCTGGGCACACTGAAAACGCAACTGAGACTGGGCATGGTGGCTCATGCCTATAATCCCAGTGCTTGGGATGCTGAAAACAGGAGGCTCACTAGAGTCCGATCTGTGTAGTGAGACCCTGTAATGAATTACATGTTTAAAAAAAAAAAAAGAGAGAGAACTAGAGACTCCATTTGACCCAGCTATTGCCCTTTCTGTTATCTTCACAAAAGAATTAAAATAATTATACCACAGCAACTTATGCACACCTAGGTTTATAGGGCCACAGTTTGTAATAGCTAAATCTTCACAACAGCCTAAGTGTCCATCAGCTGATGAATGGATAAAGATTTATTTTTCAATGTAGCACTACTCTGCCAAAAAGGACAAGCTTGAGACATTTCCAGCTAAATGGATGCATCTTGAGTCCATACCCTAAGTGAAATAAACCCCAGTACAAATATTAGGTTTTTGGGGGGCGTTTTGGAGTGGTCATGTTTTACTTTTCTCATTTTTTAAAAAATGTAAGTGTTTTGGTACAATGTAGGTGTCAACGACCACATTTACTACAGGGAATTTGTATCTGTACATGACACACGCTGGTTCCTCTTTTCTTTCCCATTACCATCACCTTTTCAAACCTCCTTCCCTCCCTGTTTGCAAAGCTTGGTTTTCATTTTATCCTTTTTTATTTTTTCTTTCCCTTCCTTCTTTTCCCCTTCCCCTCCCTATATCCCCTTTCCTTTTCAACAGTTCCTTCCTATTTCACAGCATCTACTGTGCATTTATATTCTGATTTACATTTTCAGTTTCTCACACCAGAAATAAGGCGACATTTACACACTTAAGGCACCTGCACAAGACCTCAGGTTTTTAACTTGCAATGGAATTCTCCCTTCTTCCTTCTGCCCAGACCTCACTTTCCATCCGCTGAACCTATCCAGCTCTAACTCAAGCACTAACTTGTCCATTCACATACATTCTTCTATCTTCATCTTACACTTCAGCCCTCAGCGGTGTATAACAGTTGGCCACCCTTCCCTTCTGAAATCTCTTCTTAGCTTCTGTGACAATACACTCTTGCCTTTCTGTTTCTAACTCTGGCTGGACTATGAAATGTCCCGGTGCCCTAGCGTTTGTTCCTAGGTCCTTGTTTTTCCACTCTAGAAGGTGAGTCTATCCATTTTTTTTTTTTTTTTTTAATTTAAATGTGGTTTACACAGTGTTGACTTCAAAAGCCCTAACACCAGGGTGACCCCGCCATGAGCTCTAGCAGCGGACTAACTGCCTGGCTGGCATCTCCAGCATAACACACCTCCAGGACCAATTACGGCCCTCACCCTGGCTTTCCACTGCTTGTCAACATTTGAAGAAGTAGCTCCATCAAGCACCCAGGCGCCAAGCTAGAACCCTGGAGGGTGGGTTTCTCTCCTTCTTCCCCTCGTCTACCAGATCTATCCTAGTATACTTACTTCCCAGCACGTCCCTGACTCTTCCATCAGACACACTGTTGTCTCCCTGAAATCCACTCCCCCAAGCATTTGGAGTGATCCTTCAATAATGTCGAGCAGATCGTGATCTTCCTGTTAAAACCCTGCAGAAGCTCACCGTTCTCCCAGCATCTGCATCATCTGGCTCCCGCCTACCTCCATCTTCTTCCCACATCCCCTTTCCCTCACTCACCAGCTGCACTGCTCTCGACTTCCTTGGACGCAGCCTCACTGTTTCTCCTACCCACGCTGCTCCTCCTATTCCATTTCACTCCTCACAGTGACTGACTTATCTGCAATCCCGGGCATCCCATGCAGAGCCACGCACTGAGCTCAGCCCCAATCCTCTGTCATCTTCTCCCTGGCACAGTGCCGCCAAGTCTCTGAGGTCCCAGGGTGAGCTCAAGTGTGCATCTACTACTGCAGTCTCCAAACACTGAGCTTACAGGTACAGACTCTCCTTGTTTAGTTCCAGGTCTGTGACTAGGTCTTTCTTTCTTTTTTTTTTTTTTTGTACTGAGCATCAAACTCAAGACCTTGTACTTGCCCAGCAGGCACTTATGCAGTTGAGCTATGTCCCCAGTCCTATCAGTAAGCCTTTTAATGAAGTGGTTGCTAAGTGAGGAATATAGTATGATCACTGTGATATTCACAACAAAGAAATGGTCAAAGGAAACTCCAACTTAGTGACTTTGCTTTTATTTATATAATGCTTATATGCAGTACTACACTGTATAATATAAAGCTACAGTACTGTACTACACAGTACAATCAGCAAAAATGCAATACTGTTTAAATAAAGTATATTGTACCAAAAGAAGACATCAATGTTCTGTAAATAAAACATACAGAACTATAAAAAAAAAAAAAAAAAAAGACAGGATGTAAGTCATAGGTCTACATAGCATGCCTCTGGAAAGCCCAGTCACTGCATTTGAATGATGAATATCTGTACACATCACCACACCTTGTATAAATATCACTTCCATAGGAAAGCTCTTTCCTGTGACTGCATAAATAAGTCTTATTGTATTATTTCCTCTTATTTCTACCCTTCACAAGCCTACCTATATTTAAACTTATTTTTTTCTTTGATTACTACTGCGTTCCCCACCAAAAAAAAGTAAATCTATGTCTGATTATTGAGTATGCAAGAGTTCCTGTCACAGATAAGCAAGGTAAGGTATTTGTCAAATGGATAAATGTCTGCTCAAGATATGTCTGGTCTTCCTTGTTCACTTTACACAAGCATCTCAACAGTCTTCACTTGATATTAACTACCACCAACTACATGTCAAGTAGTATGAAAGAAGCTGGGGACACAAAACTGATAAAAGTTATTTATATAATGCTTATATGCAGTACTACACTGTATAATATAAAGCTACAAATCTAAAAGAAGCGTATATGTACTAAACTATTTTAAAAATACAGGCAGGCACTGCATGAAAAACAGCAGGCATAATGTACGTCACTGATTACATGGAGACAGAACTTCAGGTTAAAGTAATAAAGAATGAGGGTCGGGGAGATGGCTCAGTGGAACAAGTGCCTCCCTGGCAAGCGCCAAGGGCCTGAGTTCAATCCCAGGTTCCACCAAAAAAAAAAAAAAAAAAAAAAAAGTAATAAAGAATGAGCGCTTGGACTGCCAGGTTCTGAGAGGCACAGGCCGCTGGCAGTCAGACAAGCCGCAGGGCTCTGGGGAGCAAGGAGGGGCGTGAGCAAGGATGTGCAGGGGGCAGAGCACGAGGAAGGAGCGAGCTGGCCAGTGGGGCTGTGGTTGTGCAGCAGGGCAGCACGGGGGAGAGGGCAGGCAGGACGGTGTTTTCACATCTAGCTAAGGCTGGAGCTACTGAAGCTCCTACGAGCTGGGCAGGGCTTCCACGCTGTTGTGTTACAACGATGAACTTGACCACAGTATAAACAAGTTTGGAATTTACACAGGGATCAAGGAAGAGATATAGGGTACACAGAGCAGGATTAGGCAGAACAGCAGCAGGCCAAGAAAAGATGAAAGGAACTGAAAATGTGGCAAAACAAAAGCCAACAGCAGTATCTCACATTTTTGTTGTTGTTGTTCTAAATTGTTATGGAGCAAGAGTTTTGTAAAGTGTAATATAATTGAAGTATTAGAAAAATAAGATACGAAGTGAAATAATACAAGATACAAGCCCCATATTTTATTATTGGCTTCAATAAGTATAAAATTTACTTTTTAAATGGCAACTAATGTTCTGAAATGCTTACTCTTAATTTCTATGCTTATCATGAACTTGTAACACCAGGCTGGCTACCATCTGCAAACTTCACTTTCACTATCATGTTTAATATTATGAACAGTATTAATAAATGGATGCTCGAACAGGGCTGGCCAAATAGCTCAGCAGATTAAAGTACCTGCAAGTAGGCACAGGGGCCAGGGACTGGATCCCCTGGCCTGCAGTGCTGGCTCCGCTCCCCGGGTGCACTGAGATGGCACCTGATACTGGGCATGGTGGCACGTGCCTATAATCCCAGCTCGTGGGAGGCTGTAAACAGGCGGATCACTACGAGTCCGATCTAGTAGTGAGACCCCCAATACTCTGTAGACCCTTCCCTAAAATACAAAAATAAATAAATAAATGGACCCTCTAAAAGTCAAAAGCAATGCTAAAATACCATAGAGCTGCACTCCCTCAAATCAGGAAGTTTGATGAGGGAAGGTTTCCTTAAAGAAAACTTGGGTTTACGCAAAGTCATGTGATGAGAAAATTTTATAAGAACACATTCTCTACTGGATGTTTTAGTTTCTTCGATTTATTTTATTATCCTAGAGCACAAAACTACTAATTTTCAGGAAGTTTAAAGTTTATATGAAGTTAAAACAAACTATTTAAACACTTCTAAATGTAGGATTATCCAAAGCCACTTGCAACAAGATATATTTATTTAGAATCTTTGGTCCTTTATAGTAATATAAATTACTTTCTTTCTGACAGACATATGCACATGAAACTCCACTGTTTTGAGAAATGTCCTTGGTGGTGGCCCCACAGTGATTTAACTGTCCTTATGTTCCTTAAATAAGTGACATAAATCTTGGGTCACCAGCTGTAGACAAAGAACTCTTCTATTTCACTTGACATTAGAGATTGACGATGCTTGACCAGACAAGTAGAAACCCATCTTCTTTGTAACAAGAAGAACAGAGTTCCCGGTGGATAGAAGAAATTGAAATCAGTGTCATGACAAATGGTAAATTCTAGGCAAGTATAGTGATAGCAGTACTAGCAAAATTAGATGGTTAAAAAAGAAAAAAATATGCCAAGAACAAAAAGTTAAAAGACGTTTGCAATTATTTGCAGTAATGACAGGCATGACAATCATAATGGAATGACATATAATAATCATATACTAATTAAGGCAGTAGAACTCTATGTGAGCTTAAAAAAAAAAGGTCCAAGTTACAAACTTCACAGTTGACATATGATACTGTATTTTTACCTCAAAAATAATCAAAGTTTAAACTATAAAATTTGAGAGCTTAGGTAAACATAGTCCTCTATTAGGACCCAGCAGATAAATTTTAAAGATAATAGTCATTACTGCTGATTAACAACTCAAAACATCTGCTTTAACTTACCCAAATGGGTCACCGACCACAAGGAACGCAACTTCACTGACATCGGCGTCCTTCAAAATATCATCTGCCTCCTGTTCCACTTCTTCTCGATCAGCAAGAATCAATTTTCTGCCATAAAACTCTTCCTACAGATTGAAGACCAGCATCAAATAAGAGACAGCAGGTGACTGAAAATAATCTGTCTGGAGCTGGTGCAACGCTTGGCAACCATCCAAACACAGATCATTCGCCACAATGCATCAATGAGCTAGCATTCTCTATCGTGTTGCAATTAAACTCTGTCTCTGAGGCTATCTTAATATCCCAGGAGGAAGGAGACATCTTAACATCTGAGACTTTTTACATTTTAAATTTACCTCTAAATTCAGCGCATAATAGACCAGACAGAGCATTACAGAATGAACACAGAAAATGTATGCAATGAGCCCTACTTCAGAAACATGGTGACAGAGAATAAATGTACGTTTTAAACAGCAAGAAACATGCAAGGTAGTTAGGGAAAATCTATGGTACTCTGGCTAAAACAAAAGGCAACAACATCAATGAAAAATAATAGAAAATTATGACTTACCTATTTACAGAACCAGCCTACATTCCTACATAACTGCAGGAAATGTAGGATTTCCTACATAACTGAAGGAAATGTAGACAAATGTAAGATTAAATTCCCTTATTTCTGCTAAAAGACAGTTGCAAGGGAAAAATCTAAATTCTAAATATACAGGAAGTTTCAATAGAAACTACATTTTGATAATCCCCTGAAGTTGAAGTCTAGAAAACAAACCCGGATGAGAGTTAGCTAGTAAGCTGGTAGCCATATAGTACTGGCTATAGGGTAATAACCAAGATCACGAAACAGAGGAAGATGCCATTCCAATGAAGTAAAAGTAGAGGCACAGATAAATAAATAATACTGTCTCATACACTGGAAATTGGAATTATGAAAAGATATAAGGGCTGCTGTACAAGAGTATCTGGCATTCAATATTTGTCAAATGAGTAAATGAACAAAGGAGTTAGCATCTATAAACACTAGTTCTGATTCTGTTAATTTCCCAACACTTAACCAAAATCTTTTCCTCAAATATGAAAAAAAATCTCCTTTACTATAGAAAAGTTTCCAAATACAATGCTTTAATAGATGAAAAAAGCTCTCTTAATTTACACTTTTACCATGCATTTTTTACTAAAAAAATTAATTTTACACGGTTTATGAACTAGGTTAATAGTTGCAGCATATTTATATTATATATCTAGGAGAACACATGCATAATTATCAGAAACCGAAGGAAACAATGGCTTTTACTGAACTTCTAACATTTCTTGTTTTGTTTTATTCTGTTTTATTGAGATAGGGCTTCATTACATCCTTCAGGGTGTCCTATAGCTCAGGCTGGCCTCAAACTGGCCTCAAATCCTCCTGCCTCAGCCTCCCGAGTGTTGGGATTACAGGTGTGCACCACCGAGCCTGGCAAATTCAAACTTTTCTTAAAGAACAAGAAGCCATGTACCACTAGTTTAAAGCTAGTAATAATCCTAACCTGTATAAACAAACAAAAAACACCCACTTTCAAGATTAATATTCTATCACTCCATATTTAACCTATCATTTATCCTAACCTAAGAAACAGATCATGGGCTAAGTAAGATAACACACACTGACACATAATATTCTACCATAATCAAATGGCTGATCCTCTTAAAAAATATTTTTAAAAGGGAAGAGATAGACAATGCAGTAAGACAGGCATTATGTTGTTTTTATCTACTTGTCCATTTACTCACTATAGGAGTGAGGGAACAGAAGTATTTCTTACACATACCTTCCACACCAAACTTCACACTTGATGCTCAGAGACAAGACATATTTTAGTATTAAGACATTTTGCTCCTGTCCTCAAGGGAGCGAGAGTAACTCCTATACCATATCATAGGTGCCATGGAAGACTCCTACCAAGTAATGGGCCAGGGAAGGAAAAAAGGCAGTATTATTATATATGATTTTAAAGTATGACTGTATATTACCCAATGATTGAGCCAGTTTTTGTATAATCTCAGCCCTAAGCTTCTCCACTCATGAAAACCAAGGTGAAAGTACAGTTTCATTCTTGCTTTACAGTGGCAGTTGGATGGAGCATGTTGAATTTATTTTCAGGAGTTGAGGAAGGATAGACAAGAAATTAGTGATAGCTTCCAGGAAGGGGCGCTGGGATTGAAATCTCTTGTATGTATCTCTGTACTTTTACAGTTCACACCACTTAGTGGATTACTTAGTCAACAAAAAGTAAAGGCAGAGGTTCAAAGTGGTACAGAGAGGCAGATGAGAGAACAAAAAAAATCTTAAAAACAGCACATTTACACAAGTAACCGAAAGGGCTGGCCAAATAGCTCAGCAGATTAAAGTGCCTGCAAGTAGGCACAGGGGCTGGGGATCCAATCCCCGGGTCTGCAGTGCTGACCCCGCCCCGAGGGTGTGCTGAGAAGGTGAAGGAGACTGGGTGTGGCGTGCCTGTAATCCCAGCAGTTGGGAGGCTGTAAACATGTGGATCATTAGGAGTCTGATCTAGTAGTGAGACCCTGAACACCCTGTAGACCCTTCCCTAAAATACAAAAGTCAATAAATAGATAAATAAAAATAAGCAACCGAAGTTTACCAAAGAAGTCTAAGAAAAAAAAACAGAAACATTTTTTTAACAAGAGAAAAAAATCATGTTACAAAAGCCAACTTCAAGGAATGGAAACTACATCAAAATAGGTAAAGCAGAATTTAAAACTAGAGTTCTCCACTAGGAAAGAACTGTTCAAAAAACAAAAGAAATACCTCTGGAAATGGAAACCAGCCTTTGGGAGTAAGAGATGTGAGGGGAAAAGGAGACACTGAAAGCATACTTTTTCAAGAAGCTTTGGATAAGGAGGGAGACAGAATGATTTTTCTACAGGAAAAGAGGCTTAGAGAAGAGATTTCTTAAACAGTCAGTGCAGGAACATGGGTTGAGGATGACAGAAGGAAGTTAATACAAGTTGGACATAGGGAACAAAAAATTTTTAAAAAACATCTAGATGGAATTACATCTTGAGCAAGAAATGGGCCTCCTCTTACTGGTCATTTTCTAAGATTGGAGAGAGGATGAATTCACATTTATTGTAAGGGCAGATCAGAAATTAATAGAAGTCACAACTAACTGCTTCCTTTTTCTTAATGCAAAGGACTTTAAAATCCTTTCCTCTGTCTCACAACCTTGGACCGTATCAGAGGAGCAGGAGAACAAGGTAACAAGTGAGCTTATGTTCAGGCAGCTTAAGTCAGGAAGAGTGAGCCAGCAGGCACACTAAGAGAGAAAGAAGTCATTTCAGGGAAACCCCATGTGAATTTGGCAAACCTCTGCCCTTTCCTCCTCCACTCATAATTACTTTTCCTTCAGGGTAGAACGCACCCCCTTTCCCCCTTGCCAAATGTCATCTATAATGACAATATTGTGCTAATACATTTAGTGTTGGGATTGCGCCTAATCCAGCACTGCTCAAAGAATTTATGCATATGAATTCCATTTAATCTTCACCTCAGTCTGGGGCACTACTTACACACTCATCTCTCTCACGTGTATTCCAACAGTAATTAATAACTAATAATTGTTTCACATTTGGGACAGCTTCTCCTGCTCAGCTGACAGCTGGATTGTTGGTTTGAATAAACTCATCTGTTTTCTCCAGAAATGTAAGTTCGTAATCTCTTTTCCACTGCTGTCTGTATTGTTACTTAAATCTTCCATTACTACTTGAGTTTTTCTGGATATAATGTAGATGAATCATGAACCATTTATGAACAAAAAACCTGTAAGCTTATGCTTCTTTGTGTAATGCACAGAGATTCCTTACACTAACTATACAAAATTCTAACTTTATCTACAGAAAGTACCTAAAGCAATTCAAGCTGAGCATACTAAAATTAAAACTTTCCTGGATTTACTATCTTTAGACTAACTTTTGAACAAAGGACATATAAACAGTACTACCTGTTTGGCAATTCAAAAATAGCTTTCAATGTAAGAGCCAATAAATTTCAGATTTCTATAGCGACACTTATGTCTGCCTATTATATTATGTTTATTGATTAAAAAAAGGAACATGTTCACCAGAAAATAGAATTTTCCAGCTTTCTTTCACTGCGTATAGTTATCTGTAGTCAAAACCAGGCTGCACATATAGTAATACAAGCACATATAAATTTTTAAAACTTTGTTTGAAAGAAGAAATGTAGAAAGACAGTAGTTGAAGAAAAAGTGCTTCTGAGACTTACCAGGCAATATGAGACATAAATATATTTACACCTTACTTTCATCCACAACTAATTCACTCAAGATAGATGATGACGTATATAACAAGCGACTCAGGGAAAACCAAACTGAGGAGCATACCAGAACATTCTGTGAGAGGGTGAGACCCAGGACAGACCACCTGGCTTGAACCCTATCTCCTCTGCACACGCTTTCTAAGCTATGCAAGTCCTACGTGCGCAGCTAACGTCTATCCCCAAGAACGCAGGACACACACACTAGAGAAGTAAAGAGCGGCAGATCTCAGCTCAGGTCTGCTTTGGTCCCCACACTGCCACTCACACACCCAGGATCTTGGGCAAGCTTCTGAACTCCTTTATTTGTCAAATGTCCATGGTAACTACTGAGTAATAATCCTCCTCTACACATACAGCACTGAAAGCAGTACAAATAAATGTTCTAGAAATTGTTACTACTGGAGAATTCTTACATCTTGACAAAGTACACATAATTACCTATAGGTGAGATCGGGCCCAGTCCCAGATCTCAACTCTGTAAGTAACAACTCCACATTAAAAAAAAAAAAGCAACAAATACTTAGGCAATATAAATTTTATAACACTTTTACATACCATACCTGAATAAAAACCTACAAAACTGTGCAACTGATTAGCTCCACTGGATGGCTGAAAAAGCTGTTTAGAAATTCAAGAAGTGCCCACTGACAATGACATTTCCCAAGCACTTTTCTGCCAGCCATAGTAAGAGCCTACAGAGATTTCTCTATTTTACACTGTAAGAAACTAAAGTTAAAGGACTTGTCTAAGAGTATGCAGCAGAAGAAAAACTAGGTCCAAACTTTCCTCTATACATGCTGACACCTTATTTATAAAATTACCAATGTAGCTGGGTGTGGTGGTTCAAGCCTACAATCCTTGCACCTGGGAAGCGAAGGCAGGAGGGCTGCCATGAGTTCAAGGCCAGCCTGAATTACAGAACAAGATGCTATCTCAAAAAAACGAGCGATAAAATCCTTAATTGTCTCTGTTCTCTTAGAAAGTTTTAAAATTCACTCTAGCTTTCCTTGCTAACCTATTGGAGACCTATTTCCACCATCTTGCGTTGATATACTTTGGTTCCATCTAAGCCCGTAAGTCAAAGCTGATCATTACCCACAAGTTGTATTCCAACGCATGGCTATTCCAAACAGCGACCTTAACTTCTTCAGCACTGTAAAGTAACTCAGGCCTTCCGACTCTCTGGGTGTGACTCTGAGAGGACTGAGACCTGCAATGCTCAGAGTAGGTCCCTCTTTCGTTCAGAAGGCAGACGGACACACAATTCTGAAGACTTAGTCCCTTCTCCCACATGTCCATCTTCTGACTTGAACCTACAATCTCGGAATGATCAACGAATCTGAGACCAGCCTGCCTCTCGGGTCCAAGGAGGACCCGTCAGGGCGAGCCTGGAGATCCCGCCTCTCGGTCCCAGGCTCTCCCTAGCTAAGCCTGACTGGGCGACGCCTCCTCCAAGGGAGCTGCCCCTGGACACACTTCAAAGGGGAAAGCTTTCAGCGTGGCGCCTGGATACAGAACCCTCATTAAGGCCGGGTCGGCAGTCCATTAGCATTCAGCTCGGAAAGGACTCCGTGGCTACCTCATGAAATGAGGATCTTGATAACTATCCCCCTAGGAGCGTACAATAACGTCCCTTTCTCGTTCACTGGAGAACGCAGCACAATGGCATTTGTAAAGCAGGACGGGCCGCGCGCTGGCCGAGTCACGTGGCCGGGGCACGCTCACGCCCGCGCTCCTCAGAGCCGAACGGCAGGGCACCCCACTCCCCGTCTCCTCGGCGCGCGCACACAGGGGGCATCGCACGCAGGGGGACGCGCACGCAGGGGGACGCGCACGCAGGGGGCATCGCACACAGGAGGCGCGCACGCAGGTGGGGCACAAGGGTGGGCATCGGGGGGACGCGCACGCAGGGGCGTGAGGCACGCAGAGGGGCATCGCACGCAGGAAGCGCGCACGCAGGGGGCGCGCGCCCGGGGTCGGGCGGCGCCGGGCACCTACCAGGGCCTCCTTCCCCACAGCCAGGACGGAGGTGTAGGCCTCCAGGTACACGCGGCTGCAGCGCCGCACGACCTCTAGGCCCCTGACCGTGATGTCCTTGGCGTCGCCCAGACCCAGGCCGATCAGGTAGAGCATCTCGAGGGCCGGCGTGGAAGCCCTCAGCCGCCCGGGGAGTCCCAGGTGCACGCGCGCGCAGGACCCCGCGAGTGGGGCTGCCGCCCGACGACGACGCCTCCCTAGACACCGGCGGGGCAGCGACTCACGCGGCGGGCCCAACCGCCCGACAGCAGGACCGCGGCCGGCTCGCTGTCCGCCACCGCTGCCTGGAAACCGAAGCCGCTCCACAGCGAGCCCTTGGCCTCACCTACGGCGGTGCCGCAAAGCGCACACCGCGTTACCGCACTTTACGACAGGCGGAGGGCGGGGCGGGGAGCACCGAGGGGGAGGGGGTGGAGCGGGAGCAGTGAAAGCCGGGTCCCTCGGGAGGAGCGGCCCGCGGGCTCTGGCGCTGGACGGCGTAGGGTCGTGCGCCAGGGCGTCGCGGGGGCGCCCCCAGCCCCGGGAAGCCCCGGCTTTTCCACCGCCGTGACCTGCGGCTCTCACGTCCCCTTTCATGGCCTCGGGGCGGCCCCTAGCAGATCCGAGCGGCGGAGTGCGGGTGGGACGGGCCGCGAGGAGTTTAATCCCTGCCCTCTTGGGCTATAATTGAACCTGCGGCGTCTCTGGTGCGTGCACGCCTGCCCTGATTGGCCAACCCCGCGGGGGTGCGGGGCTGATTTCCCAGCAGGCCATGACTTAGCGCTTATCGCGAAGACCTTCTGCTGGGATGCCCCCTGGGGTCCGCTGTAGTCACCACCCTGTCGGGAATTCCAGACCCTCTTGGGTCTGGGGAAGTGACATTTGAGCGTGCACAGGGATTTCAGACCTCTCTCAAATGGGGAATTCTAATCAAGTTGTTGGTTGGCCATAATTCCGGTATCAGTAAGGTTTTGGCTGAAAATGTTCTTTCAGAATCCACTAGTGATGTCATCCAGAGTTCTCAGGCCTTAAAATATCTTGGTGAGATTTTGATCAAGTTTTGCCATGTGCCTTGCCCTACTCTAGTTCTGAAGCCCCAGCTCTTTTCTTCAGAAAATTCCATCTACTTTTTGCATCTGTCGTTTTGTACACTCTTTAGATGCAAAGTCTGTGTGTACTCACTACACTGATTCATGGGGCAGGTGAGGGCGCACTGGTAATACCAGCTACTAAGGAAGCCCAGACAAGAAGATCCCAAGGCAGAGGACAGCCTGAACAACTTAGCAAGATCTTGTCTGAAAGGTAGGAAGGGCTGGAGGTGTAGCTTAGTGATAGGGTACCCCTGGGTTCAGTTAGTAGCTGAGCAATAGCTTTTGAGTAATGTATTTTCTGCCTTACGACATGTAGAGGGCATTGTGTTCTTATCAAAAATTCATCAATAGAGTTAATTAAACATAAACTCATGCTACTATTAGGGAGCAGTTTGTGTTGAAAAGCTCATGACATGTCAAATACACTTCATATGACTCCATTGAATAAACGTTTCCATTAGGCCAATTGTGACCCAGTGGGGGTGGGGGGTTAAACTTTACACAGATAACAATTTAAAAGGATACTCAACATTAAACATTAAGAAAATAAATATTGAAACCAGGGTGATATACCACTGTATACCTAACTATAAAAACAAAACCTCAGAAAAATTGGCTATCCAGTCTCAAATCCAGGTATCTTCTATACTTTGCTATTTCGAATTTCAACCTCTCTTACAGGCCTCTTTCCCTGGCCTTTTATATTTTTTTTTCCCTAGATTAACTTTTTGCAGGCATTCTTCACCCAGAGGCATATTAGATTCAACACATCCAAAGCGGAATCCACCAGCTTCCCTGCATATTAGCATTTCTCTCTGCATCGCCTGTGTTATGGTTTGTGTCTAGTTGCCTCCCCAGTGCCTCATGCAGTCATGGGGTGGACTTTCAGAGTTTGTGATTAACTCATGATCGGGATTACGGGTGTGAGTGATACACCCAGCTGGGGGCAGATAGTCTGAATGCGACTTAAGGGAGGCAGACTTGCTCTCTAGCCATTGTTGCTGCTGCTCCTTCCACTTGCTCTTGCTGTTTTCCACCAGCATGAACTGCTGCCCTCTGCCATGTGCCAGTCTGCCTTGGAGCCAGCTGATTATGGACTAAAACCTCCACAAACTGTGAACTAAATAAACCTTTTATTCCCTAATTTTGTCAGGTGTTTGTCCCAGCAATGAGAGAAGAGCAACTAAGATAGCCTACTTGGGACTGGAGGAGGAGGTGCCATCCCTCCTAGGCCCTTGGGAGTCACCCCATAGTCACTGTCATGTCTGCTTTTCTTTCTCAGTAAAACCATGCCCGCTATCACCGCCCTGGTGCAGGTCGGCATTCTCTCATCATGTTAGCTGTTTGTCATGTCTCCTGCACTTTGGTCCTTTATCCAGTGGGCAAGGCATTGTACTGAAGATGCAATCTGGAAAGGTCACTCCCTTTCTGAAGTCCTCTTGTGGCCAGTGGAAAGCCTGGGTTCCCTGACATAGCTCACGACCTCATCCATGGCCTAGTCACTGCCATGGCTTGTCTCTTCCCACCTCATGAGCTTTTCTCCAGCGGTACTTGTGCCCATAGTGCTATGCCCACCGCGGGCTGCTCTGCGCATGTGTGCTTTCCCTGGGTGCAGACTACCATCGCTCATGCTCTCTCAGCAAGACAATCACTGCTCATCCTTAAACCTAGAAAATCTTCCCGAAGATCTCCAAACCTTAAACTGTCAGGCGTCCTCTGCTCATTGCCCTGATGGTCAGTCTGTGTATCAACTGATGTCCTATATTTCTTAATTTCATGAAGTCAGGGACTCTCTATTTCGTATTCTCTTTCCTAAGACTCAGCATCAGGGCTAGCACGTAGTACTTATTCAATAAAGACTTGTTAGCTGAGCAATAGCTCTTGAGTAATGTATTTTCTGCCTCATGAAATGTAGGGGATAATATGTTCTAAATGATTTATCAAAAATTCATCAATAGAGTATTCAACATAAACTCATGCTACTATTAGGAAGCTGTTTGTGTTGGAAGGCTCATGACACGTCAAATACACTTCATATGACTCCATTGAATAAACAATGTTTCCAATAGGCCAAACATTGTTTTGCATTGTTTCCAGATTGTCCAAATAATTTGGAGTCACAGTCAAAAGACATTGCAAAAAGAATAATCCAGACCTCTCCTGAAATATATTTTGTAGAGGCAAAAAATTGAAACAGTATTTTTAAGTAGAGAACAAATTTCAGTGTTTGGTCTTCAGAATTCAACTGAAAGAACTTACTTAGGAGAGAGAATTCTTAACAAACGTATTTTTCTGCATGCCTTCCTTCCTCACTAGGAGTGTAAAGTTCTTCGACTTCGCTAGAGGTGGACAGATACAATAAAGGTGTTGCGGCAACCTTTTCCCTCCTCAGCTCAACAAACACAAGCAGCAAGGTTTTACCTAGTCTTTTCCGCAGAACTCTTCTTTGGGATTTGGATGTTTCTTCCATTAAGATAGGTTTCAAATATAATTTTTAGGGGAACTTTGAAATGTAGGAAAATTGAAACACTTTTTTAGTAAATACCCATATGGCCACACCGTAGAGTCTATAATTTTGACAGCCTTGCGTATTTGCCTTACGAATCTCCCCAGAAATCAGCTGTTCTCTTTCTTGATGCATTTCCAAGGGAGTATCAGGCATCAGTGTACATGATTGCATTTTAGTCAAAAGAAACTCCTGGGCTGGGAGAGAGCTCAGTAGAGTAGGCACTTGCTTGGCAAGCGCAGGGCCCTGAGGTCAATCTCCAATACTGCCAAAAAAAAAAAAAAAAGAGATAAACTCCTTTTTTCTAGGTCGCAGATTAATAAAATTTATCCAGCATATAGCTGATTAAATCATATTTTCACCTTACTAGGGTAAGCTGAAAAAATACTTCAGAAGCTACTAATCAGTTTTTATTACATAATAGCATTATTTTAATGATAATGAAAGCAGTCATAATACTGATTTATTTAAAATATAGCAAACTTGAAGCCTCGTGTAGCAGGCAGGAGGGATGGTTATAGGGAAGAAACATCAAGTAAAAGAAAATCCTTTTTTAATTTAAAGAATAACAAGAATTGAGGCCTGAGTAGTTTTCTCCTTTGCACTCCTACTCTAAGGCAGGACCATACCAGCTCACCCCTGAAAGTGAGCAGTCAGGCATTTTCGGAAACAGCATTAAGACATTGTCATCATCTTTGCTGACAGCTCATTCTTAGTACCCGCTGTCAGAAGTCTTCCCTTCGTTCACCCCCAGGCAGTGGTCATGAAATGTGAAAGAGAGTCAGAAGGAGTAAGAACAGCTTTCTGTTTGATTGTCACAAATACGTATCACGCACTTGTCATAAGGTAGTAACGTAGCTGAGCTGTTGCACTGCTTTGTGAGCAAGTTGTAATTACCTCCCTCTACAAACCCATCTTTCAGATCTATTTGAGCTTGTTTTTGTCTGTTGAAAAGAAGCCATTAGGGGCCTGATTAAGCTCCACCTGACCTCACTGTGACTAGAGAATATCACTGTACTCTGAAGCTGGCCTTTTAACCCACGCGTTTGCAGAGATGGCCTTCGCTAGGGCCAATCTTGATTGATTTTCTTAGAGTCTAGAGACCTTGAATTGTCATTATTTGCTAACAATTCATGAATAAGTGGCAATTTAAAATAATGCTGCTTTAGGAGGATCTATGTTTATTAATGTTAATTTAGAATTACTTTATTGTACATTAACTTGCTTAGAAAAGTTTTTTGTTCAGTCATCTTATTCACATCTTATATTGAGTGATGTAAAATGAATAAAAGATGTAGACCTATTTTTCTGTGAAAATTATGCAGTTTACTGTCTTTAAACCTAGCTTAATAGGCTTGAGATTAACAATGTGGAAGTCACCTAAAACCCTATATGTAAAGTAGCTCGTGTGTGTGTGTGTGTGTGTGTGTGTGTGTATGTCTGTGTGTGTACTATTTTTGTTCCTTTCTAAGACATTTTATACTTGGTAGTTCCTTCATACTTTCTTGCTAAATAGAATCAGGGATACATAGTTTCACTGTTTTGTGCTTCCAACACTAGATAGTGTCACTCTACTTACATGTGGGTAAGGATATTTCAGTTAGTCAAGGCCCGATGGAAGGAGGGCAGGCTCTCTTCAAGTGGCCTGCAGGAAGCAGCACAGTGGTCACAATCTTGAACTCCTGCAGCTCTGTGTGGCTGTAGTTTCACTTTTTTAAATCTTTGCCCAAGGTTCACCTCTTCAGTGAGTCCTT